TGCTTCACAAGGCCCTGGGGTCAAAACTAGAGTGAGTTAAATACAACTCATATGGCAGCTAATGTGTTAAGGATATATCTGTCCAGTCATTAGCTGACCACCAAGGTAAGGGAACAGAGACTTTAGTGGCCAAACACAACAAAAAATACAGAATTTACAAAATTAGTTCAGTAACAACAAAAACAGCAACAAACAGGAAAACAAAACAAAACAAAACAAACCCCAAAGCATAAAACCAAAACAAAACAAAACACCCAAACAAACAAAACCTGGGTTTAGAGGTATCTGATTTCTAGAGTTTCCACACAATATTATTAAAATGTTCAGTTTTCATTGAGGAAAAAAAATATCACAAAATATACAAAGAAACAAGAGAATATGGCTAATACATAGGGAAGGGAACAACTAATAGAATCTGTCCTTGAGGAAGCCTAGATTTGGATTTACTAGACAAAAACTGTAGATTAGCTATTTTAAATATGTTAAAAGAACTATAGTAAGTAAAATATTTCCAAAGAACCAAAGAAAAATATGAGAGTGATGACTCATCAAATAGACTATCAGTAAAGAGCCCCAGAGACCTATGGGGCAACTTCAGGCATGCCAATGTACTTATTGGTAGTTCCAGAAAGAGAGCAGAGAGAGAAGGGGGAAGAAAGAGTAAAAAAACTCTCTATGTATTGATATGGAATGATTTACATGAGTTAATGTTCAGTCTCTTATCCCTTGTGCCTAAGATTGTTTCCAAATTTTAGAAAGGCAGTACTATACATACAGCATGTTTTATGTAACACTTCTAGCACCCTAGAGCCATACACGTATAATTAGTTTTGCAATAAAGTATGCTTATTCTTGTAAATGGAAACATTAAGAATATAAGCAGCTTCCTGAGTCAGAATTTGTTTCCAAGTGAGTTTGGCTCCAAACGTAGAGAAAAAAAAAAACGTAGAAAAACAATAGAGCGTTTTGGATTTTGGAATTGTTGGGTAAGGGGTTGTGGGTTGGTAATAAGGGTGGCAAGGAGGCCAGGTGCAGAACAGTGCTGTGTGTTACCATTTTAATTTGTCCTTAACACTGAATCTGCTTGCCTTTCTTCATCACTGATCTGATTGTATCCTTGGCTACTTAAATAATCAGTGAGCCAAGCCTAACCTTGGCAATACATGAGACTTGGCCACAGGGGATCTCCAGTCCTGTTTGCTTGGTTAGAGCCACAGGGGGTAATTTGTGATTCCTTTCTCCTGATGCATCTCACGGGTCTGAGCCTTTGCTTGCTGTTCTCCTTTGGTCATCCCCAGAAATGATCTTCTCATTATCTCCCTGATGAACTCTGTGTCCTTCAGAGGTCAGCTTTGACTTTGAACTTATTTGTTACGCCTTTTGTATGATTTTGCTAGGCAAAATCAACTTGCTCCTTCATTTATTTCCACTGCACTTTACCCACCTTAGTCATGGCCCTGAGCACTTGGTAGGATGCTCATCCATCTCTCACTGCCTACTGAACTTAAGTATTGAGGGCTGAGTCTTTTGTGCCCAGTGTCTGGTTCATGGTAGGCCCAAAATAAATGTTGAATGAAGTACATAAGCCTGTGAAAAGGAATTAAGTTCAGCGTTTGTTTCTGAAGACTTGTAGTTTTGGCTTCTCTTATGACTGCAATCATAATATGCCTTTTCTAAATCATCAGTATTCTCTTGGATTTTTCATTTTATGGTATATTGTTTGTTACATTAAACTGCAGTGATTTGGATACTCAGCCATGCTGTGAATTTTGCTATTGTGACGCAGAGTTAGGAGAATAGGCCCTGGAGTTATTCCGGGGCTTTAATCTCATTGTTGACACTTATTCTTTGTGGATCCTTGCACAAGTTACTTAACCTACTTGAACCTCAGCTTTATCATCTCTAAAATGGACATAATTAGCAACTGTCTCATTGTTTTATTGTAAGGATTCCGTGAACTGAACTGAACGAAAAGGGTAAAGCATGTGGCACAGTGCCCCCAGGACATGATGAATACTTAGTGAATGGTAAATAATTTTCTCCTTCTTCTTCATCCTCCTCCTCTCTTCTCGTGAATTGTTTGCCCCAATCTGACAGCCCCAAATTGTCTTAGAGATTCGGGTTGAATAATATTGGATGTTTGGGCCACTCTCTTGATTATTTTTTTTTATCCCAAGAGGAGCATCAGAGTTACTATTTATTTGGATTTATTACAAACAAATCTCTCTTTTTTTTTCTTTCCCTTCTGTAGCTGTTGTTAGACTTCGTTATACCTTCTGAGCTACGTTCTTTGAAAGGTAGAATTCGGCCTAATAATCTCTACAGAAAGGAAAAAAGAGAGATTTTTATGTTCAGTTGACATGATCATCATTTCTATGATCCTTTTCAACTCAATTTTAAAGTGAAAATCAAGGGTCATCATAATAATGACACCAAGAGTCATTGGGCATTTTTTCTGGGGATTGGACTTAGGTTGCATAATGTAATCTTTCTGTTGTCCTTTTTAATTGTCCTCAGCAGTGATGGAGGTTCTTAGACACAGGAATTATTAGGATGATTTTAAGATATAACATTCTCTTGTTTGGGGGAACTAAAATGATATTATCTCTATATAGAATGGAGACAGATAAATGGCCATGCTGGGAGCCTAATTGCCTGTTCTGGGTGAATAGAGGTCAGTACTAGGCAAAAATAAGATCTTGAGGCTCAGAAAATTTCTCCAAGGTCCCTTTGCTGCCTTTTTTTTTTTTTTTTGAGAGTCTCGCTTTGTTGCCCAGGCTAGAGTGAATGCCATGGCGTCAGCCTAACTCACAGCAACCTCAAACTCCTGGGCTCAAGCAATCCTGCTGCCTCAGCCTCCTGAGTAGCTTGAACTACAGGCATGTGCTACCATGCCCAGCTAATTTTTTCTATATATATTAGTTGGCCAATTAATTTTTTTTCTATTTATAGTAGAGACGGGGGTTTCGCTCTTGCTCAGGCTGGTTTTTAACTCCTGACCTCGAGCAATCCGCCTGCCTCGGCCTCCCAGAGTGCTAGGATTATAGGTGTGAGCCACCGCGCCCAGCCTCCTTTGCTGCTTTTGAGCTCCTTAGAATTGGGTTCTGTGATTCCTAGGGACCTGTTTTCTTTTCCATTCTTCCTTTGCTCCCTGGCAAGAGATCCATAAACTTTCCTGATTGTAGCCTCTCAGACATTTAGTATTGACTAGAATTCCTTACTGGTACTATCAGTGTCCAGGGCTTCCTTTTTTTTTTTATAAACATTAGAGATTTATAAAACAAGTATGGCCTTTGGAATTTACTTTGGAATTTCATAATCTTAAGTAGTTATGGAGGTATAGTGAAAAGGTCAGGCCAGTTTCCATTTTGCATCAGGAAGCTTACTGACAAAGTCAGTAAGTATCAAGTGATGACAGCCAGCAGTAACCATTAAGACAATCTTAGGATTGTCTTAAGACCGGGCAAGGAAGCATAGTTTATTAGTGTTAAAGAGGCTTCCAACAAAGAGGTGATCAGACAGAATGTTGCCATTACTGATGCTTTTGTTTTTCATTTTCAGTAATTTTTGTGCTTTGTTCTGTAGTGAGACGTTGCTGAACTTTGAAGGATTCCCTTTGTATATCAGTATCCAAGGGCGTAAAGTAATGAGAGTCTGCCAGTATTTTAATTGCCTCTTTCCCACCTTTGCTCAGAGCCTCTCTGCTTTTATAACTTTGGGTTTAGACACTTCTGATTTTTCTGTGTGTCACTAAGCCATATTGTTGCAAGCATTTGTTTGGCCTACATTCCCTTAAAAGTTCTGTCTCCTGATAACAACAATATCTATTAAACAGTAGCATTAATATCTGCGTGTGTGTCTGGATAAAAAGAAAAATACAGTTCCTGTCCTTTAAAGTCTTACATTCAAAGATAGATAAGGCTGGTACTGATATATATAAAAGACACATAAAACACTTTAAAATGGTGAGTTTTATGGCATGTGAATTATAACTTCATTTTTAAAAATGCATCGACTTTGAAACAGAAATGCATAAAATTCTACAGATAAATGAGGAATAAACTGTGAATTAGTTATAGAAAATTAATAATGGGAGAATTTGATCAGAGGATTATTAAGGGGGAATTTCTTCTCTTCTAGTTATTTCTAAATTCACTGAAGAGAATGAATTATGAGATGCGTGAAGGGAGAAGAGCAGAGTCTTTGGAAGTGGCACAGTCTAGGTTTAAAGCAAGAAATGTAGTAGGTAGGAAGAAAATTATGAAATGTCAATGAATTTGGGAGAAGTAGAGAATGAGTGGTATTCATGGAAACTGATTGAAAAAGTAAAGAAATATAAGAATCTGCAATATCTATTTTTCTTGTGGGTTATGTTGTTCTGGCTATCTGTCGCTTAAAGCTCCCCAAAAAGGACGTTGTTTGACTTGACTTTTACCCCACTCCCACTTTTAGAAGCATAGACGTGGCTCTGTGCCCTTCAAACAAGGCTTGAGCTTTTGGGGTTCTTTCTGGTGCCTTAGAAGAGTTCTGTCAGTGAATTGATGATGGGAAGTAGCCCATCAGCACTGGGCCCACATGATTGTGAAGTTTCACTTGTGTAAGTCTTGAGTGGCAGAGTTTATGGGAAAAGTTAGCTCTGAGAAACACTCTAATTGTGCTAGGCTGATACAGCCAGGCCTAAAGTTTGATCTTATATTGTTTATTTTCCATTAAAGCCTAGTGTTTGAAGAAGGATCAATTTTAAGTAATTGAATGTTTTCAGTTTATTGGGGATGGTATGCAGTCATTTGAAAAATAACCAGAGGACATCCATTTTGTTACATTATAAAAATCATTTGTTCAATTTTCTGGGAGAAGCAGAAGCCTCTAGATCCAGTGAAATGTTTAATTGCCACATCTATTACAGACTATAAATTTTACATCATAGAAAGCCTGATATAGGCATAATTTTCTTTTTCTTTCTTTCTTTTTTTTTTTTTCCTTTTAAAAAAATTACCAAGAAACCTCAAGCCAGTTACTCAGCTATATGTCAGCGTGGATGCTAGCACCAAAGATAGCCTGAAGAAAATTGATCGCCCACTCTTCAAGGATTTCTGGCAAAGATTTCTTGACAGTTTAAAAGCCTTGGCAGCAAAGGTAAGAATATGACATCTTAAAAACAAACCAATAAATAAATAAGAAGGAAAAAAAGAGAGAGAGAGATTTTTTTTCTCTTTTCTCTTTAAAATAAAAAAAAAAAACACTTCAACTTTTTAAAGACTTCCTCTTTTCAGGAACATTGAACATTTATTATTCAATAAATATTTATTTAGTTCCTCTTAAGCTTACAGCACTATGCTTAATATATATCACTTGCCTTTAATGTATTTAAGGATATATATATATTCCCGAAGTTAATTAATAAAACATGGTTAAATAGCAGTACAGTTAGTTGTCCCTTGGTATCCTGGGAGGACTGGTTCCAGGTTCTCCTTGCCTCGCCCCCACAGGTACCAGAATCCACAGCTGCTCAAGTCCCATATATAGAATGACATAGTATTTGCATATAATCTACATACATACATACATATACTTTATTTATTTATTTATTTTTATTACGGCATATTATGGGGGTACAGATTTTAAGGTTTCAATAAATGCTCTATCCCCCCCCCCCATACATATACTTTAAATCATCTCTGGATTACTTATGTTACCCAACACAATGTAAGTGCCATGTAAATAGTCGTTCTGCATTTTTACAGTTTGTATATTTTTTATTTTTGTATTATTATTTTATAAATTTTTTTTGTCCAAATGTTTTTCTTCTGTAGTCAGTTGAATCTGTGGGTATGGAACCTGTGGATAAGGAAGGTTGACTGTACATAGCAAACTGAGAAGAGGGATCAGCAATATATTTGTTTAAATATGAAGTTAATTTTACTGAATTTCTAGAATCAAATCTCCTGCGTCATAAGTAACTCAACCTCAGAATGTCCAAATTTAATGTCTTTTTCTGCAAACATTTGGGCCTTCTTGTGTGTTTTCCTGTGGCATACTTTCATTCCTGTTCTTCTTGACCTTAAGTAATCTTCTGATTCTTCTTTTCCATTAACCACACATCTCAATAGTTGGTACTTTCTGTTAGTTCTGCCTCTATATTTCTCTTGTAATCATTTCTTTTTTGTGTGTGTCTGTGTTTACCCTGTCCTTTCTTGCCTAGATTGGTGCAGTAGCCTCCAAATGTAACTCCTTCCTTTCTGTCACTTTTCTTTCTTTTTCTTTTTTTTTTGAGACAGAGTCTCACCTTGTTGCCCAGGCTAGAGTGAGTCCTGGCATCAGCCTAGCTCACAGCAACCTCAACTCCTGGGCTCGAGCAATCCTTCTGCCTCAGCCTCCCGAGTAGCTGGACTACAGGCATGCGCCACCATGCCCGGCTAATTTTCTATATATATTTGTTGGCCAATTAATTTCTTTCTATTTATAGTAGAGATGGGGTCTCGCTTCTTGCTCAGGCTGGTTTCGAACTCTTGACCTCCAGCAATCCGCCTGCCTCAGCCTCCCAGAGTGTTAGGATTACAGGTGTGAGCCACCGCCCCTGACCCTTTCTGTCACTTTTCTAAGTAGTTCTTGGTCCACTGCCCACATCTGACTGATAATGATAATCACCACAGGTTCTTAAAAAATTACAATTTCCTGTTCCTGGTAGCATCTGAGAATCTGCATGTTAAACATCCCCGGTGACATTTGATATACAGCTAAATATGGGAGTCACTGTCCCAGAAAAACCTCCCTTTCTCCTTTGCCCAGCACGATGTTGACATTCCTAACCCATCATCGTCTGGCTGCAGTGTACATTTCTGAGAATCATTGTTCACTGCATTCCCTAAAGTGCAGTATGTCTCTGCTTACATTGTCGTTTCTGCACATGTGCCCAGCACTCTCTCTCTCTCTCTTGAGTCTTTGGTTACTTTCTCTCCAGATCTTTGGGTACTTTCTCTCCAGTCCTTCCAGTTCATTCTTTGACTTATAGAAATTCTATGCACCCTTCTAGTTTCAGCTTCATTATTACTTCTACTGTGAAGCCTTTCCCAGTGGCAACTAGCTGCCCCTTTCTCCCTTCCTAAGTTTTTTTAATCTATAAAAACAATTTTTTCCTTTTGTTTTATCTTAGCTACTCTCTCCTGAACTGTATTCCTTACTCATGTCTGAATTCCACATGATGTCTAGCACAGCACATTTTATGGTAATTGATAAATGTCTTTTAAAAGTATGAATGAGTAGAAACTCAACAGAGATTTGTAGTGTACACTATAAGTATTTTCCTGATTGTTCAGCTGATTAAATCTTTTGGGATTTTTGCTATTTTATGTTTGAGAAGTTAAATCATTGCTTTTTTTTGGTTATTAACACTGAGGTTATTTAAGAAATGCACATAAGCATTACTTTGGTTTCTAAGCTGCCATGGATTATTTATAAAGCTAGCAGGCTAAGTGCTTTTCAGGTTCCTAAAATCACTTTGTTTTTGGACTTTACCTTCAGCCATATTATCTTTACTTCTTGCTGAGACAGGAGATACATAGCCTAAAAATCAGAATAGATTTAAATGGGAGTAAACAGCAGGAGCCGGCAATATCAGACACATCTGAGATTGTTACTTAGGCTGTGTTCTGAGTCAGTGTGCAAGATGACAAGCAGGCATTAGTTGAATAGCATAATAGCTTACTTTTTTCCTTTGGCCAAAATTTTCCACAAACTAAAATCTTATTTTGAAGTTACTATCTAGCAAGCTAAGTGCTTTTGGGGTTTCTAAAAATCACTTTGTTGCCTTTGGATGTCCTATTCAATTGCAGTTACTCTGGGTTGACTCATTGATAGTAATACAGTAACTTAAAGTTCTGTAGTATTTTTTTACCCATCAGCATCTTAAATATAAGTCACTATTATCTCCTTGTAATTCTAGTTGGAAAAGTTTCCTTGGGCAGTTAAAACTATTTGCTCACACCTTAGGGTAATTGCTTGGTAAGCATTTTGTAGTAATTATAGTTTATGTTTCTCATTCTTATGTTCTTTATGTTGCCATATTAGAAAGAAGAGCTGTGGCAGGAAGCTGCTTTTAAAAAGTTTTCCTTAATTTAACTCAAGCTATTATTTCCTTCTGAATATTTGATATTATTCATATAAGATATAGTAGATGCTATCAAGAAAGGTTTGTTTTGTTTCTCTTTAACATTAAAAAATAAAGCATAAAAAAATAAAGCATATATGTATGTTGTAACTATAATTTATTAGTTTAGGTAAAACATATAAAAACTCAAATGATGTCAAATTACTATAACATAGGTATTTTTAAATAGTACATAATCAGGTATTTTAATTACAACATCCATACTATTGTCTTCTAATATTTGTTAAAGCTTATAGTGTACTGGAGCAAGGAAAGGCATTTGAAGAGAGAATTTCTTCAACTTCATAAATAAATTTGATTTGTCCCAAGATATTCAGCCTATTTCTGAGCTAGTGCTACCCAAAGTAGAAGGTAGCATATTTTGGTTTTTGCTCTTGGCAAGTATAATGTTCACCTTTCCAGATCTTTTTTTTTTTTTTTTTTGAGACAGAGTCTCACTTTGTTGCCCAGGCTGGAGTGAGTGCCATGACGTCAGCCCAGCTCACAGCAACCTCAATCTCCTGGGCTCAAGCGATCCTCCTGCCTCAGCCTCCCGAGTAGCTGGGACTACAGACATGCGCCACCATGCCCAGCTCATTTTTTCTATATATATTAGTTGGCCAATTAATTCCTTTCTATTTATAGTAGAGATGGGGTCTCGCTTCTTGCTCAGGCTTGTTTCGAACTCCTGACCTTGAGCAATCCGCCTGCCTCAGCCTCCCAGAGTGCTAGGATTACAGGCATGAGCCACCGCGCCCGGCCTCAGATCTTTATCCTTTGTCAAAATGTTCCACTTCAATATGAGGAGAGAAATATATTGGTACTTGAGTATGTGGGCTACAAAACAATTCCATCAAGATAACAGAACAAAAATGTGTTAGCTTCAATTTCCGTCTGCAATAGCTACTTGTCAAACAGCTCTTTTTTTATATACAAAAGGACAAATACATCTTATATAAGACAACACTACCTACCTTTAGAATAGACTTTTATCAGCAATGTGACCAGATGTGTTTCTGCCAGCCTATTATTATGTGAAGGTCAAGCACTAGTAAAAAATTGAAGTATTTAATCCTTTTCTAAATTTAAGTAGTAACATCGACATTCTTGAAATCCCATATTTGAAAAGAAAAAAGACAAAAATAATTTCTTGCATTACACATTCTTACATATCAAAAATAAATTAGCCTTCTTGCTACAGATGTTAGGATGCTCTGACCTGACATCATTATTTGAGTAATGGTTGTTCCATTGTTAAGAAAGGCTTTTTGTACATTAATGAGATAGCTGTGTCTAATATTTAATAAACTCATGTATGCATGTGGCCCACAATTGGCAAATTAAAAAACAAATATTTAATATGGGATCTTTTTATCTCTTATTATAAAAATGTTATGTGCTGATTATGGAAATTTGGGGAAAGTAAAGAGAAATATTAAGAAGTAAAAAAAAAATTACCTATAATTCCAGCACTTTTAGACAATAACTATTAACATTGAAAGTACTTATATTTAATCCTTTTTATGGAGAAAGTACTTTTTGCATATTGATTCAATTTTGTATGTTATTTTTCTTGTTAACATTATGTCATAATCATTTTTCCATTTCATTTAAATTCCTCTGTGACCGTCATTTTAAAGACAGCTTAGTCTTTCATCTTGCTCAGTGTTCTGCTTGTGGACCAGTAGCAGCGAGCAGCAGGAGTGTATGATGTTCCTGCACATTTCTTCCCATCCTGGGGGTCTGATAGGATTCCTAGCCTTAGCACTCTCGAGAGGGAGTCAGCCCCTCTGCTGCTCTTGAGTTGCAGTGTGCACATTTTGTCACTTTTGGACATTTCTAAAATCAGATGCGGTCAGAGATGGCATGTTCTATTTAATTGGTAGCATTATTGCTTTCACAAAGGAGAGACATAAATTAATGGTACATAAAATCATGGTATATCATAATCTAGACTATCTTAGAGTGAATGAAATATTATATCTTCTTC